AATGTTTTTATTTCTTACCAACTATTAACATTTTAGGCCTACATAAAAAAAAATTTTACCCTCCCTGTTGCAGCAAACCTAAGTATGTGTTAAACTGATTCTATTTAAATAGGGAATAAATGTGATATTTTTAAGGAGACATTTTAGTCTAAATCCAATCAGGCAAATGGAAATTCGCTTAGTCTGCAGGTTTGCTGCGGCGGGGGTATTTCAACTATTACGACCTCTTGAAATTATTTGATCAAAGTAGTCAAACAAGATAATATAACATTGAAATTTACAACTTAAAGTGGCATAATAACTGCTCTGATATTATTAGTTAAAATTATGAAATCCGGACCTTCATGTAAATATAATAAAATGTGTTTTATTGTACATAGATGTACAAAATATACTGTACAGAAATTAACTAGGCTGGATTTCTACTAAAATAATCCTTTAAAAATAAAATTCTCAGATTTATTTTCTATTTAAATAACATTAATGTTAATGAGTACTTAGGTTTGCTGCTACAGGGAAGGTATTGAGGTGTTTTTATTTTTATTAAAATGTCGATAGCTTAGTATAAAATAAACAAAATTGCTAAATTTGATTAAAATATATCTGTAAAAAGGCAAACTACATTAATTGTTTTTTCTCCATAAGAATAAAATGGGAATGAAAATTTTGTTTATTATCTCTGTTACTGTTAGGCATATAAAAACACTTCAATAATGTACAATTTTTTTACTCTACAAAATGGTTGGAATAGAAATTGTGAAATTCTGTTTTTTAGTGTAAAAAATAGGAAAATCCAATTTTTACCTTTTGAAACCTCCTATAAACCCCCATTTCTATAGTCCGATCATGCTGGTTTGCGAACTCGTTTGAATAAACGTAGACCTACACGACACGTTTGTACCAAATTTAATCAAAATCGGATCATTTTTGCTCAAGTTATCGCACTGACAGACATGTATGCATTTGAACAAAGGGGTTTTTTGGCCTCTGGGGACCGCAAAAAAAATTAATTCGGCCCTTGGTCTAGGTCTTACCATAAGACTGGACATAAGACTATAAGTTAATGTAAGTTAAAGGACATAAGACATAAGACTACCATAAGACTGGTAATAGCTTATTCCCTATATGAGAAATTTGCTAAAATTTAATATATTCTCTAGTGTGATCAATAAACCGTTCCAGATGCTACATTATGGTACAGAATGAGATAGAAACTGCTTAAACTCATAGTTTAGTTAAATTAACAAAAAAATAAATTCCCCTAAACTGAAATATCACAATCACATCACACATTTTAGCCAGTAACAAAGTAGCCGCAAGTATAGGTGATGTGCACAGGTTGGTAAACTTATTCAAATTTTCGAAAGGCCAATCTACACATTTTTGTTGAAATGAAAATCAAAACTTGTTTTATTGAAAATTTTATTGACCTAATTTCATCTTTTATCTTATCCATCTATCTATATCTACATACTTAACAATAAAAATAAAAAAGGTTTTCAACGTATCATCCTTTCAGTGAATTTCCCATATAGGGAATAAGGTATTACCGTAGGTCTCATGGTAAGACCTGGAACCAGCACCGATTTTTTTTTTTGTTTTGATGTCCGCTGAGGTCAAAAAGACCATCCGTTCGAATTCATATGTAGATATATATATATGTGTGTGTGTCCGTTAGCACGATAGCTTGAGAAAAAATTATCTGATTTTGATGAAATTTGGTACAAAAATTTAAATTTACATTTATTTGAACGAGTTCGCAAACCAGTGGAAGAAATGGGGTTTTATGTGGGGATTTATTGGGTAAAAATTGGTTTTACTAATTTTTGACCCTTAAAACATAACATTTTCCAATTTCTCTCCAAACCATTTTGAAGAGCAAAAACCAAATAATTTAGTATCATGAAGTATTTTTGTATGGTTGTTGGTTACGGAGAAAATTTAAAAAAATTTAAATTTAAAATTGTAATTTTATTCTTACGGTAAATAAGTAAACTGTTGTAGTTTGCTTGCTTATGGATATACTGTATTTTGATACAAGATGGCAAATCTATTTATTTAATACTAGGCTATTAATATTTTAGTTTTGCTAATGATTTATTGTGAGTGAAGAATCTGAAGATGAGAGGATCTGAAAAAAAACGTTCATTTAAATGTTATAATTCGTATTTTTGCAACTTCAAAGTTGAAATTGTCAAAAATATAGAGAAAAGATATGTAATAAAGCGAGATGAAGGTAAATCATGTATGTGAAAGTTGTATTCCAAGATTTGGTCAGTTTTTCTCATATCAGCCTACACAAGATTTAAAATGAATTAAAACCGAAATGGTGGTATCCACTACTTATGTGTATACTCAATGCCACTACTTACCAGATTTAAAAGTCATAACTTCAACGTTTCTATTAAGGCCATAAAAGTTGAATTTTGTTTCTTAAAGCGTTGGCGTTTGTGTAACTACTATATGCAAAGAGATGTAAAGATTAAAATGTTTCTATTTTGAGTCCTCTTCCCGTTGCAAAGCACAGGTACAACAGCTAGTATTTTTATACAAACACAATTTATTACACACCTTGTAGCAATAAACCTTTGTACTCGTTAAACGTAATGTTATTGAAATGGATTTTATTAAATTAATTTAATGGATTTTATTTAAGTCAAATCATGCAAATGGAAATTAACCTAGTCTGCAGGTTCGCTGCGGAGGGGGTATTTAGAGTTTGTATTTAACATATTTTTACAATTTATGTGTCATTTTAAAACTTATGATCTAGCGGAGGGAAGAATGTTAAATAATAAGTAATTTCCTTTACTTATAGGGAGGCAAGCCTCCCTAACATTTGAATTATTTATAGAGTTTGCTTTCAGAGTCAGTTATGCTGACCAACTTTCCTTATAAAAGGTTTAAATGTGAACTGTAATTTAACAGCTGATCTTTAGTCAAATGTTAACCACAGTCAGATTGTAAACAAGGGACAAAATAGTAAAAGATGATTTGATGTTTTTTTCCGGTGGCAAGAGCTAGAAAATTTATTATTGAACAATTGTTACCTTTAGCCATTGTTCTTGCAGATGAGTTTATATCCCTCCGATATATTATTTCACTGCAGTGTGTGGCATCCTCAGTGGCTTCCTCCTCTCATCCTCTTCTCCCTGCTGGATGACCTTTGAGTAATCTCTTACTCTTGACTAATCTATCACTCCTGTTTACCCCCAGTGTCCTCGCTTCTGGATGACCTGGGAGGGTGCCTACCTCTAGACTCTGCTCTACTAGTATGCTATTTAGAAGTTCACTCTTGAGTAATCTATCACTCCTGTTTACCACCAGTGTTCTCACTGCTGGATGACCTGGGGGGGTACCTACCTCTTGACTCTCCCCACTTGTACGCTCTTTAGCAGTTTACTCTTGAGTAATCTTAATCTATCACTTCTGTTTTCCACCAGTGTTCTCGCTCCTGGATGACCTGGGAGGATGCCTACCTCTAGACTCTGCTCTACTAGTATGCTCTTTACAAGTTCACTCTTGAGTAATCTATCACTCCTGTTTACCCCCAGTGTCCTCGCTGCTGGATGACCTGGGAGGGTGCCTACCTCTAGACTCTGCTCTACTAGTATGCTCTTTACAAGTTCACTCTTGAGTAATCTATCACTCCTGTTTACCACCAGTGTTCTCACTGCTGGATGACCTGGGGGGGTGCCTACCTCTAGACTCTGCTCTACTAGTATGCTCTTTACAAGTTCACTCTTGAGTAATCTATCACTCCTGTTTACCACCAGTGTTCTCACTGCTGGATGACCTGGGGGGGTACCTACCTCTTGACTCTCCCCACTTGTACGCTCTTTAGCAGTTTACTCTTGAGTAATCTTAATCTATCACTTCTGTTTTCCACCAGTGTTCTCGCTCCTGGATGACCTGGGAGGATGCCTACCTCTAGACTCTGCTCTACTAGTATGCTCTTTACAAGTTCACTCTTGAGTAATCTATCACTCCTGTTTACCCCCAGTGTCCTCGCTGCTGGATGACCTGGGAGGGTGCCTACCTCTAGACTCTGCTCTACTAGTATGCTCTTTACAAGTTCACTCTTGAGTAATCTATCACTCCTGTTTACCACCAGTGTTCTCACTGCTGGATGACCTGGGGGGGTACCTACCTCTTGACTCTCCCCACTTGTACGCTCTTTAGCAGTTTACTCTTGAGTAATCTTAATCTATCACTTCTGTTTTCCACCAGTGTTCTCGCTCCTGGATGACCTGGGAGGATGCCTACCTCCAAACTCTGCTCTACTTGTACGCTCTTTAGAAGTTTACTTTTGAGTAATATATCTCTCCTGTTTACCACCAGTGTTCTCGCTGCTGGATGACCTGGGAGGGTGCCTACCTCTAGACTCTGCTCTACTAGTATGCTCTTTAGAAGTTTACTCTTGAGTAATCTATCACTCCTGTTTACCTTCAGTGTCCTCGCTGCTGGATGACCTAGGAGGGTGCCTACCTCTAGACTCTGCTCTACTTGTACGCTCTTTAAAAGTTTACTGTTGAGTAATCTATCACTACTGATACCCCTATTGTTCTTGCTGCTGGATGACCTTCGAGGGTGCCTACCTCCAGACTCTACTCTACTTGTACACTCTTTAGAAGTTTACTCTTAAGTAATCTATCACTCTTGTTTACCCCCAGTGTTCTCACTGCTGGGTGACCTGGGAGGGTGCCTACCTCCAGATATACTCGGCATGTATGCTCTTTAGAAGTTTACTCTTAAGTAATCTATCACTCTTGTTTACCCCCAGTGTTCTCACTGCTGGATGACCTGGGAGGGTGCCTACCTCCAGATATACTCGGCATGTATGCTCTTTAGAAGTTTACTCTTGAGTAATCTATCACTCCTGTTTACCCCCAGTGTCCTTGCTGCTGGATGACGTACCTACCTCTAATATAGACTCTCCCCACTTGTATGCTCTTTAGAAGTTTACCCTTGAGTAATATATCTCTCCTGTTTACCACCAGTGTTCTCACTGCTGGATGACCTGGGAGGGTACCTACCTCCAGACAGTCCAGGACCTCCCAACCTCAGTGCTCTTATTGGCCGTTTGTTGCGGGTCAACGGCGCGCCTCTCTTGGACCTTTACCTGGACCGTGACCTCCAGAACACCTCAAAACTAGCAATATTCCTTGACCTCCCAAGACGATATGAACACACCATCAGACTGCTACAGGGCTTTGAGGAGGTAGGTATATATATTATTCAAGTAATGGTTTTTATTAGTTACTTCATTACTTACTTAGCATTTACTACAAAATACTTCAACAGAACCGGTATGGACCATAAACATAAACAAATAATGTTGCTGATCCTAATCCTATATCCCGAAAGTAAACAAAACCCCTTTACTAATAGCATTAATTAACATATGGTTTAGTTTACTTTCGGGCCAAAAAAGTTTGTGTGTTTGTTTGTTTGGTTGTTTGATTGTTTGTTTGTTTGAAGTTCAATCACACATTAACTACTGGACGGATTGGACTGAAATTTGACATGATGATAGCTCACATTCCCGAATAACATATAGGCATATTCTTATCTGAAAAATCCTTTCGGGCTCCGCCCCAGTGGCTCTGTAGTTCCTCATGTTAACCTTATGAGTATCTATCTATATATTAATAGGCAAGCATGTTTCTTTAAAACCTTTTTTCTCAGCTCGTGTGTATCGTAGGGAAAATCTACGCATACCGTTAGAAAGCTATTTTCCTGTAGGTGTGCAGAATCCCTTTATAAATTAAAATAGGCTCAAAAATAAGCACAAAAAATTAATTTGAAATTTAAAAAAATTAACATGGGTCTTATGGGTTGCTATGGTGATGACGAAATAACAACAAAATATAAACAGAAAATCAAAACAAATGGAAGACATTCCAATCACATGTTTTATTTACAGTGTGGGGTGAAAATAGAGAAGTTTGCACAAAACATACTTTTGGTCGATTTTTCGACCACGGGGCGTGCTCTCGTTCATATTTAAAGGGAACTAAAGAATTTAGTCAGCTGTTTTAACTAAAAAAGTTGGTTCTATGATATGCAAAAGCATTAAAAAGTTATAAGATTTACCAACAGAGGGTGTAGCAATATTATTTTTTGGCATTTATGAAAACAGCTAATTTGAACCAAGCAGCAACAAAAACTGTGATATGCAATGAGAACTGTCAAAGCAGGATTGTTTACAGTTATGTCTATGTTTATGTTTTTAATTTCATGAATAATTTGTGATATTTTGCAAAATGTTTGTTACTTTATTTTTCTCTATTGTTTAGGTAAAGTGGTAGAACATTATGGCTATGGTAGATGGATGTGCAATAACATGGTATAACGTAAATTTAAAGAATCAAATTTTATCAAGCTGTGTCTCCCTCCATTGCAAACGCAAAGCTTGAGTATAACTGCAATAATCATTGTATACTTACATATGCAAACCCCGTATGAAGGACAGGTATTCTGCTAGTTTGTTTATGTTTATGATCCATACTGGGTCTTTTCTAGTATTTGTGTCCTATACTAATAGCATTACAATATGATTTTGCCAATTCCATTAATTTAAGCAATGTTAAATAATTTTTATTTTCGGACCAGCAACATCATTTGTTTATGTTTATGATTCATACCGGTTCTGTTAAGTATTCATGGTATTTACCAAGCACGTTTGACACCAAATGTATTTGTACATTATCTCATATCATGGTACATTTTGTATTTTCTCCACGTATACCATAGTATATGGAGATAGTATAGTTCTTGTAAAAATTTTAAGTTTGAGTTTTGAGTGGATATATCCGTTTTGGGGGAAAAAGTTGTTTTTGAAGTGATGTCTGTCTGCCTGTCTGTATGTGGGGATGTGTACAGAGCTACAGACCACACATGTAGCTTGATTTTGATGCAACTTGGTATGTAGGTATTAATCAATGGTATCTCCAGGTGTTTTTTTCTATTTTCATTTGTAATGATGTTTTCCCCATGAAACCCCATAAAATAACGGAAAAATCTAATTTTCTTGAAAATGTTCTGAACGATTTTTTATAAATTTAGTCCTTATTTTATGGTCCTTAAAATTGTGAACAAGATGGTACAACTCCCATTACTGTACAAACTACGTTTCAAAATTTATTGTTTGTAACTTATGTTATTTTTCCATAAAATAACGGAAAATCGGATTTTCTAAAAGGCCGGTTTGGACTCAAATAAGTATGTAATGGTCCTTATTATTCTAAATAAAATAGAAGCCAACAACAAACAAAATGGTGAAACCCCCCATTGCTGTCAAAATTACGGTTCAAAAGATGCAACTTTTGTGATTTTCCCTATTGTCATAGTTACTCCCACTGCTTACCCATGATAAAGGTTGTTGACACGCTAGCGGGAGAAAGTACGGTATATGTACTGTATCAGATTGCTGATACAGTTTAAAATTTTGTTACTAATTTTTATTACTTTATTACTAACGCAAGTTTTAAGGAATCCGATGGCTACAGTCATAGGTTTTATTTGTCTAAAGCAACTTTTGTTTAATGGTTTCAAATACCTTTACAAAGATTTTCCATTCCAATTTCCAAAACGGTAGTATTAGCCTAAATATATTTAGGTAGGCCTATCCATGTATTTTTATTGAATAAGGAGATCGTAATTGTTGAAAAGTACCTATATTGCTAACCTGGTCTTGGAACAGTTTAATTAGTTTTGTATCTTATTTAAAAAATACTAGTGCACCTGTTGCTCAAATTTGAGCAATTGCAAAGTATTACAAGTGTTATTTCGAAACAAAAAAACCGTCACAATTTCCGATGCCTTCCCCAACTGGGCTTGCTGGGAACTTGTTCCAAGTCCATTGGCCCAAGTTCCCAAGCCTGATTTAGACTCAGGGACCAAAGTCTGTAGGCTTGGTTTTGACTTGTTTTAGAGACCGAAGTTGGCAGTTGTTCAACTTGTTATGGGTTTGGCTCCCCAAGTCCAATCCAAGTCCCAACCCCAAACCTACAGTGAACTCATGGGCACAAACCCACTCTAAGCTTGGAATGATGGATACAAAATGGGTCTGGTGGATTAAGCAGGCTCATTATGGAGTTCGGGACTTGGAGACCCAAGCCCAATTTTAGTAGGCTCATATTGGACTTGGCTTAGACTCATATTGGAATTGGTTTTAGCACATTTTAGACTTGGGCAAACAAGCTCACACCTATAGACTCACTCAGATCTTGGTACACGAAGTTTTATATACTTCAATTACTGTCATGATCAGAGATAATAATAATTATTATAATAGGCTATAGTAATAGTAATATAATTTATACCATTTAACATATAAGCTGTTTCATACCATTTATTTGCTAGCCCACATTTTTTCTTATAATTATTTTTTTACCAAGAAAGATTTATGATAAAATGAAGCCTATTTTATGAGTGATCTTGAAAAAATATTGGTTATATATGAGGTTTAGTGTAATATTACATGTCATTCATTCATCATTAACATTAATTTCTCTTTTATTTTGTATATTTTCTCTCATGTCTGTTAATGCCCCTGATAATGTGTTATCAGTTATTTAATTTGTTCCTCTTGTTAATGTGTTAAGTATTTTATCCAATTTTGTTCAATGTTATATAATATCCCATCACCCCACAGAAACATCATCCTATTTTATATTACAATATAATATTTATGCAAATTCTCTCCATACCTATTAAGTACTCATCAAAAACCAACAATAATCATTTATTTAGAATAATATACAATTGTAAGAAAATTGCAATATAATAATAACATATCAAATATAGTATTATTTTTCAAAATTATCCAAAGAAAATCAAAATTACTGTGGCAAGTGTCATTCATGTAAATTAACCAGCTGTACATCACTTCAACAATGGACATGGACTTCCTGAGCTTCTACCATTGCCTCTCCCCAGATCCTGCCAACTCTTCACAGTGTGAACATCATTCTATTGGAAATTGTGTTTAATTTAAACTAAAATTCATAATCCTAAAGTAAAACCTAAAATTTAAATTTCTCATCATCCAAAAGTATTGGACAAGTGCATTGAAGAGTACCAATTTATAAGAAGACACACACTCCAAATTTGGTAACCATCATCCATCTTATTTAACTAAGGACAAATTTAATCTTCATTGGACATTTAATCAGCATAGCCTACTAGGCCAAATTAACTCAACTCATCAAGATATATACATATTTCAAATTGAACTTTTATTCAAAATTTAATCTTCAAATTCTATTTTATTTCATTAAATTCAGTGAAACCATTTGGAATCTTTCTTTGGACATTAACATTATTATATTAATAGCATCATGAACCTAGCTTAACTTATTTCAGAACAATAACTAAATTAAATTATCTACATTTTAAAGAAGCCTAATATATCATTCGAACCGGCACGACCTCCCTGAGATTAAGAGGTCATCTATTTGAATATTAATTAGTACTTAAGAAGAAACCAACCCAATATAGGCCTAAGCCTAGAGAATCTTTTCATCCACTTTGGAACCCCACCATTTTGAAAATTTACCATTGTTAACTTACCCTGTAGCTAATTCAACCAATAACTTATCTTATATTTGTATTTCATTAATAAATTTTATATTGTAACTTATCAAATCTATTTATTCTTAAAATAATTCATAATTATAAGATTAAGACAAAGACTTACCTTATTAGACAGAAATAAAACAAAAATTAGGAATTATCTTTATTAAGAAAGAAATGACTTTGAGTTCAATGTGGGCTAACTTAATAGCCATAGGAATTTTGTAGGCCTAAGTTAATGAAAGTCTATAGAAAGCTTTATGGTGCATAGCATTAGAAAGCAAGACATTAACATTTCAAGACAATTTATTAATATAATAAATACAATGCCCACTATCTTCCACTTCACCTTCAACTTCTTTTCTGAACCCATCAACTCCACCGCCTGCTTCAGAAGATCTATAAAAAATACAATTGCATTAGAATTATTTGGTTTATTAAAATTTATCATTTAAATCATTTTTCATTATTTTTATTTGTTATTATAATCATTTGATTATTTGGAATTTGTTGGTGTTGCAAACACAGGGTGTTAACTTACCTTTGTTTTTAAAATTGTTATCAAACTTTTGTTTCTTACCATTTTACTTTTATACGTAAACTAATGGTTTGGCCTGTTTTTATCTGTAGACTAGGTTAAGG